ATAAATATGTGACAAAATATAGTTAAACATAGTGACTTTAAAGAACTTTACTTTAAAATGTTTGGGGAGGCGAAATACATTTAATGTATACACAACAATTTTAAATTATGCGAAACTTTTCTTCCACTTGAATCTTTCCATCACAAATTGATTCTGAAAGATCAAAATTTTGAATAAATTTGAATAGTGACATTGGGCATTTTAATAGAAATTCTGTTTTCCAGTCTTTCGGAATTAATGTACTTTTATCATTAAACAATGTTCAAAAAACAAAAAAAAAATGAAGGGAAAAAGTGACCAATTGTTTACTTCATTTAAGTCGCCACTTTTTTTTGTTGACTCGCCAAGTGGCGACTGGATATATTCAGGTCTAGTTGTAATTATCGAGACCAGTTTGAGCCAGCTTTGTTTTAAGCTTAAATCTACCACTTCCTTAGATTCTTCCTTAGATTACTTACTTTACATTTTTATCTACAATAGTTGAATTATAGTTTTTTTTAAAGTTACCCGCATGCAATACTTCAAAGTGGATTTTATATGTATCTATTTATTATAAAGATGTTTTACAATACAATAATAAAAATCACTTTTTAAAGAAAATTATGAATAGAAAATCTTTAAAACTATAGTATGGCTAATGGTTTTGATCTAAAGGAATATGCACCACACACCTAATTTAAAATATATTGATATCGAATTTATTGGTATCGAATATTTTTTCTCTAGTTTAGATATACTAGTTGTTCAATTTAAATTAAGATTTGAGTAATTTACACTTTTAAATATCGATAACTGCAAATAGAAATATTTACTGTTTCACTTGAAAAAGTTACACTTCCTTTAAATTACGTTTTAAATCAGAAGGTTCCGTAAAGACCACTCTTAATAAGCATCTTTTGGAATCCTTATCAAAAATGAAAACAAAATGAAATGAAATGACAAATCATAGTGCAGGAAAGTAGACATAACGGACATGCATAACAGCAGGCTCACACCAGCCACAGTACTGACGGAAAATATGCTCAGTGGTATACGAATCATAGGTTAAAATCCCCTTGTCGACGGGCTAACCATGGAAGGTTCTCGTGGTTTTCCTTTTCAGACACAAATGCAAGTTACTTTCATCAAAAATAGTTTGTTCTTATGCGTGATCTTAGAATTCCCTTATCTTCTGGGTTGAGTTCAAAATTACAAGATTAACAAGTTGAATAGTGATAATCGTAAACTGAGAAATAGGTTAGCTTTTCAACGCCAGTTATAAAATAAAATATAAAATTAAACTATACAGAGCTGTGGTAACTCAGGGGATAAATTGCTCACCTCCGAATGAGGTGACCCAGTTTCGAATCCCAACAATGGCTGGTCGATACAAACTTTCTCCCGGCTCGCTTCGACCACTGTGCTGACGTAAAAAACACTTTCAGTGGTAGACGGATTATGGGTTAGAATCCCTTTGCAGTAGGGAAAACCATGGTAGGTTTTCGTGATTTTCATCTCCATGTAATGCAAATACGGATTAGTTCCATTGAAAAGTCCTCCCCCCCCCCGTTTGTACCAAAGCTTGATCAAGGAGTTTTCTTGTTTTCTGGATTGGGATCAAAATTATAAGACTTTGGAGTAGAACATTGAAAGCCGCATACACAAAAATGGGTCGGCTATTCAACTCTTGTAAGAAAATACAATTAAAAATAAATAAATAAAGTAAAAAAAAAGGTCACGGACGCTTTTTTGTTTGAAATGGTTTGCATTCAAATAACGATTATTCAAGCGTATCGATTAGATGTTTTTTAAATATAAATTTTATATACACCGTGTTTTATTGATTTTTTAGCTTAACGTTACTATATGATTAAATGTACTTTAAACAATGGAAAAAATGTTGAAAGAAAGTGTCGGAAATGGAAAACATGCAAAAATAAAGAAAATAAGAATTTTTTCCCTCATAGACGAAGAAAAAAAATGATAAAGAGGTAAATCAATAAGTTTTAGCGCTTCAATAGTTTTGGTTTCTTATGCATTTATTGATTTTTTTATGAGAAACACAAAACAGTTGATTAACGGCAATCAAAAGCTATAAGCATAATCCTACAAAGTTTATGCGAAATGGATTCTATATCAATAATATAATACATGTGATTTAAATTTACTTGTGGTCAAATCAGTTGAAAGTTGACGAAATTATCACATCTGAAACAGCGAGCTGAGAAAATGTCATTTAGTGTTTGCAAATGCAAGATTATTTTTTTTAATACCAAAACTAATTTTTTTGCTTTTAAGTAAGATGGTTATAATTCAATCTTAATTGCCTGCAACATTTTTTATTAATGAGCTACTGAGCCAGAAATAAAAAATCCAGAAAAAAAAATTAAAAACAAAAACTCAAATTTTTTTTAACCGAACATAATGGCATAGTTAAATAGTTAAATTAAATTGAGAGTAGTTAAAATAAAATTAATTAAATTGCCTGCAATGTTTAACAATTGAAAGAAACTCACTTTCTTGAGCGTGTCTCATTTATTTTAAAGTAAAGTAATGACCCTTTTTAACTAACTATTTACTAAGGGATCCTCTATACGTTTTGTTGAGAAACGGAGAAAAGGGTATGAAAGAGTATTACGAAAGTAAGCGATAAAAAAAAGGAGCCGTAATTCAAAGCTTTAACTTCAGGGCCATAATTTTTTTCTATGGTCTATTAAGAAATAATTTTAGCACTTTATTGACCATATACAGACCCAGGTACATTTTAAGAATTTTTTTTTGGTTAATCGTCTTTCTAATATTTTATTTAAAACACTTACTAGTCTATTTTCGAGTCAGGTGATAAAAAACTTTAAAGCCAATATAACTTTAAAGCCAGAATAACATTTTAAGAAATTTTCGTAAAATTCGGAGATATGGCCGTTGCTTTATACAATCAGTATTCCTAATCGTAACGAACTTCATCAAAATTAGTAGAGTTAACAGTTAATTTATACAGTTATTGCATAAAACAATCTTAATTGATTCGATGGTGTACCCTTTTTTCCAGGGTGATTGCAGCATCATATTTACGAACTCGAAAATCCCGAGTTCAAATAACACCTCATAGAAGAGAGAAGGCCTCCGCACGGATAAATTTAGTAGTCCAACGCAAGGCACATATACTGGAAAAAATAAGGACGATATAACTACGTTCGGGTTACTAAATTGCCCATTAAGGAAAAAATATCACTAAAGAATCAGATTTCTCGTTTATGGTAACCCGCGTGGAAGCCATCTCTCTTCTAGAAGGAGTTTTTGAACCCTGCCAAAGAACATCTCTCTCGCAGTCACTCGATATTGGTGACCACGGACAACGAACTCGCAACTTTATTATTCCTCTGCAAATGGTAACGCTACAATTTTTTGCCTTGGTTCATTTTGATTCAACAAACTAATCACCTGTGTCTCAAACGTCAAGGCTCGAATTGAAGATAGCTTTTACGAGCATAACTTTAATTTAAGATCAGTATAGACATCAGTACGATCATACATCATACGATCAGTACGACAAAGAATTTACAGATAGACTTGTATTTTTATGATCATGGTAGCACTACGGGCATAAATACGGTCAGTGATTTGAACTCTTTTTGCTACTGATCTTAATCTAGTAGTGAATCTTTCTATCTCTGTACTATCTGTCCATACAGTGGGAGCAACGTTGGCCCATCTAATATGGTGCCCCTGAAAGAGTGATCAACAAATCTGCCCTTCAGACGCCTGTATGACAAAAGGTCATTCTCCGGGTGGGTATTGGAAAAAAAATGCAAATTATATTTCTAATTTAATAGAATTAATTTTCCTTAAACTTTCAAAATCATTTGGGTATGAAATTTAAAAGATAAATTTATGAATACACATTTAGTTTTGCAAAATTTAATCAACCGAAATAAAAAGTAAGATTTAAAGACTCAAATTGAAGTAAATGATTAAAAGCACAAACAGATCTCTATTTAGAAGCATTTTAAATTTGCAATGTTTTTATTTCTCATCCTGCTAATTCATCAAGTAAATAGTCGTGATTAAGGAACAGATGATTTACACTTACAGAAGCGATTCAATAATAATTGTAATAAGTTATAATTTAAGTTATTGCCATTATATTCATTTGAGTAATATTTCTGTTCGCATAATTATTAATCATCGTCTAAATAATTTTCATAAGATAAAAAAAACTCTTTTCTTCTTTTAATCTAAGGACCAAACATCTTTTTACTAACTTAAATCGAAATCAAAGGAAATTTTTCGATTTTTACTTTTTCAAAATTTATTTAAACTCTGAGTCCACAATCTGGTTCGTTATGTCAATATATACAAAAAAATATGATTATCCTATTTTTATTGATCAATTAGTAGCCAATGGTAGTACATTAGTAGCCCGGTAAACTTTAATAACTTAGTCACTTTTTCCTCGAACTTAATATGTCGCTGACCGATATCGATAGGTCCTTTTCCTTTTATAAACACTTTTTGCAAACTTTTTTTTCGATTAAATTTCATAAAAAATATTAGTTGAAATTAGCTGAGAGTATAAAAAATAATATAAACAAAATTTAGTTAAACCTCCTCAAATGTTTTTACATAAAATGTTGTTGCCTCCTCTAATATTTTTACATAAATATTTTTATGTAAAAATATTTGAGGAGGCAAAACCCATTTAATGTATACATTACAACTTTAAAATATTTGAACTGTAAAAGAACTCTTCTTTTACGTGAATCTTTCCACCACAAGTTGATGGATTCTAAAGAATCCAAAATTTTGGAAGCTGGACATTTTAATGAAATTTCTGTTTTTCACAGCCTCTTTCTACATTGATGAACTTTTATCATTGAACTATTTTTTTATTAAAAGAAAAAGATTGGAAAAAGGAATGGTTGCTTATTTAATTTAAGTCGCCACTCTTTTTGTTGTCTCGCCACATGGCGAATGGTCATTTTCAAGTTTAATCACTACTGTAGTTCAATATTATTAATTACCTTGAGTAAACCGCTGCTGTAAACTGCACTTTCCAAGGCGATTCTAGAAATGAATACACCATCACTCTGAGTTATGAGATCTCCTTCTCGTATATAAAGCCCCAGAGTTTGACCTGGCCGCTTAATAATCTCAACAAATTGGACCACGTGGCTTGCGTCTGCTGAGCGAAGATACCGGCGACAGGCTTCTGCACCAACACGACCAAGCGAAGCAGGGTCCAACAACCGAATTATCATTTCTCCTCTTTTTTCCACTGCCTCAGCAGCTCTTGGATCGAAGTCTTTCTCAACAGCTTCTATTTGGCGAAATATCTCGGTCGATATACCGCTTACTTTTCTGAAATCACTTTGCACTACCATTTCTGGCATCAAGCGTGATCCTCTCAACATGGGGCGTGAGGGGGCTCCAATCAAACGTCTGTCTTCACACATCGATTCAATTTCCCTCGTCTCCTACAAAAAACAAAATCATTTTTTTCAAAATAATAATTAGATCATACATTTTGAAATGGGTCAAAAGTATTTAAATGTTTTGTCCACAACTCATTTATCGCATACGCGAATTAGATTAACACATTTTTCATTTCGTCTTAGAACTATTTCATATTTTGATAAGTTTCAATAATTTAGTTAAGAACCTTTTTTGTATCCCATTTTATTTTTATATTTGGAAAGTTATCTTCTTCTAACTTCTTTGCCTTGCAAGATTTGGGGATCTCACCCTACCCTACCACATCTGTTTCTTATCTCTCTTCTTTTGTTTGATTATATTTTGCAACGTTGTCCCCCCCCCCGGGTTAAACCCTTTTCTCCTTGTAATTTCCTAGTAATTTTCTTCTCGATCCCTGTACTTCCTTCTCTAATTCTGTGCTACACTGAAGAAGTTTCTTCATTATAGAACCTAAACCATAGTATGTCTGTTTATAGGGAATTTCTTGTGCTCTATTAATGTTGTTTAACTTTTCGTCAACTTAAATCTTATTCTGAGTTTTACGACACCATGTGTCTGATCATTGTAATCGTTTCTACTTTCTAGACATAGGAATTAATTTATACGGTGCTTCCATAAGACCTCTTTTTGGTTTATTTTTTGGAATCACCCTCACAGACTGGTTAAAAATTCTCCAAGCAAAAATGTGCAGATTTCGAAGGAAGACAAAATTTGTATGTACAATGCGCAAAAAAAAAGAAAAAAAAAGATCACCCTGAATAGTTTTTCATCTAATGACTGCATCTCACATTCCAGAACTCAATCTTAATAATTTGCTGGGGTAACCTCAAATATGCTAATTAATTAGTGCAGGCAGAATTTTAAATTACCAAATCAGACAGTAAATTGGACTCTCTTTAAATGAACATACTTTTTTTTCCCCACGGATTCAGATTTCGGACCCCCAAAATGTAGAGCAGGAGAACGGGCGAAAGTTTGTACCCTTTAATGTTAGTTTTACTTTTTGCTTTCTTCGCTGTACCTCAAGATCTTTTTAAGCGAATTCAAAAATTTTTGCACGCAATTATGAAGTTTGTTTATTCAGAAATAATTCCAAGTAGTAAGTAATTTTTTAGTGAATCTTTATTATTTTCTTAATTATTCTATTTAATAACAGGTCGATTTTTTTTTTAATTTTAAGGTATTTTTCTTCTTTTTAATTTCCTTTTCTTCTTTCTTTCCACTCTTTCTAAATAATGTAATTTTATATGGTAAAATACAAAATTTGAGGGAAATCGGTCAAAGAATTTCTGAGTAATAGAATTTTTAAAAAAATTGTAGTTTTGAAATTCGATTTCTAAAGAACTATTTTGTAGATTTTACTTAAATTTCGTGTTTTGCTATGCAAAATTACATTCTTTAAAATGATCAAAAAAATTGCTTACCTGGCAGTACAAAATGCTTTCGACTATAATTAAATAAAATATGAAAAAATGATATTATTTACTAGAAGTTATTTTTTGAATGGAAATGTCTTTAAATAAACGAACACCATATTTATGTGTAAAAATTTTTTAATTCACGTAAAAGATCTTAAGACATGTTGAAAAATAAGCAAAATGTAAAATTAACATTAAGATGTTCAAACTTTGGACCGCTCCCAGGACCAAACTATCCCCCATATTTTGGGGGTCAAAAATCCGCATCTGCTGAAAAAGGTATGTTTATTCAGAGAAAGTACGGTTTTGTGTCTGATTTCGTAACTTAAAATATCGTTTGCATTAATTATTTAGCATGCTTGAGGTCACTCCCTCGAAACAATAAGATTAAGTCCTAGAACGTAAAGATCCAATCAGTAGATCAAAAGTTATTAAGGATGGTCCGTTTATTTGTTCACGGACGTATAGTTTCAATAGAATATACTACGCATACAAAACTTATTACTTCATTTCAATTATTCATATGGACATTTGAACAAATGTCTTGAAAAAGGTATAGGCAAAATTTTTGAGCAATGCCTTTTTAGAACATTAGACTATCACATCGGCCTATAGAGCTCAGGACTTGGGCACTGTTTTTAACTGGGACCTTTATTTTACACATTATAACTATTTCAATTCTAAAAGTAATTTTATTACAAATGATAATAAAAAAGGAGAGAATAAGTTTCAAATGTTTCTAATATAAATATGTATTTTGATCTACAAATATGTATTTTCAGAAAAATGAGGCACAAAAAATAACTTTAATTTCTGTGCTCAACTTTACCATACGCAAGTCATGGGTCCAAAGTAATTTTTGAGTATGAGCATTTCGGAATAGTTCTCTTGGTGAAATTTTCATTCCCCATTTCAATTAATTACACTGAAATTCGATTTCTGCTAGATATAAGATTTCAGAAATATAGCTTTAATTAGTCATAACTGTTTTAAAAATTATGGTGGAACAAAAAAATTGTTTTTCTATAGTTTAAGTAAAAGTAATTAAGTTATTAAACTTCTTAGAGCCTAATTTCTATAATAAAGTTATATTATGCTTTAGTTTAAAATCTGTAATTGATGTTTTAATTTAGATCTTACAGCACTTTCTTGTCACGATTAAGAACTACAATCAAAATATCTGCAAAGAGTTATAGTGGGTAGCTTATTTTGTAAGATAAAGAAACAATAAAAAAAATGACAAAAGAAATAATAAATCCCACAGTGTAATATCCCACTTATTAAAGCCTAAGATTATTAGCCATGTAAGCAAAAAATCATACGCTTAAAAGGAATATGATTTTTTTAAAGTTGTCTTCAATTTTGCAGTTTCCGAGTTATAACAATTTAAAGTAAAAAGCCTTTACAACAAGAACTATAAAGTATTCTTAAAAAAAACTATTAATAAACTAAGTATTAAAAATATTAATAACTATTAATATATAATTAAAATTAAAAATTAGTAAACTATTTTTATTTCTCAAATTGATTCATATACTTCAAATTCTGGATTTTGTCTCGTAAATGTATTTCGTTTAACATGGGGAAAAATAGTTAAAAATAATTATTCAAGAGATAACAAATATTATTGTTCTTGTTGTCGTCGGCCATTGAGGCAGAGGGTGTGTGACAGCGCTTGTTTTCCATTTATGGCCAAGAATTATACTTCTGCCACGCCCATACGTCACACCCGTTTATAGGGTGGACCCATTCATACATCCATCCATTCGTCCACAGATCGTAATTTTGAACCAGAGAATGATCAATCTCCAATTCAGAACCCCCAGAGGCATTGATTTGTTATGGGAATATGGAGGACTTCGTGATTCGACCGATTTAACGAGCACCAGTCACCCTTTACTACACGGGGAGTCTTCGGCCGGCAAGATTCGAACTCCCGTTCTCACAATCGTGAGTCCAGCGCCCTACAGACCAGACTATCCCGGTCAACAAGTACTATTAAAATAAATAATTAAAAATATGAACCTTTCATTCTATATTTCAATTAATTACACTGAAATTCATTTTTTGGTGGATGTAGAATTTCAAAAATATAGCTTTAATTAGCCAACAGTTTTAAATATCATGGTAGAACAAAAATGTCTTTTTATTTATTTATAGTTGTAGTTAAAGTAATTTAGTTAAGCTATTAAACTTCTTAGAGTATAATTTCTGTAACAAAATTATTCTATGGTTTAGTATAAAATATGTTAACTGTAATCGATGTTTTAATTTATATCTTACATAACATTCATTCGTAATATTAAATATCTGCAAAGAGTCATAGTGGATAGATTATTTTCTAAGAAACGAAAGAAATAATAAATCGCGTGGGTGTTTATTTCTCCTACATGCGTGGGAGTTAAATAATCTCCCACTTATTACCATTACAAATATTGAATTATCCCATTTATAGTACATTTACACAGGAAACCTACTTTAAACGCTGATATAAAGTATAAGATTATTAGCTAAGTAAGCAGAAAAATCATACGCTTAAAAGGAATATGATTTTTTTTTATCTACTTTAATTTTACAGTTTCTGAGCAATAACAATTTAAAGTAAAATGCCTTTAGAATAAACATTATTAAACTTTTTTTTTAAAAATATTAATAAACTGTTACAAAACTATTAATAACTATAAATATATAACTAAAATGAAAATTAGTAAACTATTTTTTAATTTCAAAAATCGAATCATATACTTCAAATTTTGGATTTTGTCGCGTAAACGCATTTCATCCAACATGGGATAAAAAAATTATAATTTGTAATTCAAGAATTAACAAATATTATTAAAATAAATAATTAGAAATATTAAATAATTTTTACATTTTTGCTTGAACCTTTTCTTTGGTGAAAAGTATGTTTATGATATTTTTGTGTCCCCTTTCGCACTTTATTCACTCATCTGCGATAATTTATTAGTATGTCTTAATTGGAGTCATTTTAGGAGAAATTAAGGTTCGTTGAAGGATTGTTCATGAAGTTTTTTATCGCTTAGACGGACCCATTATAAAATATTTTATCGCGGAAATTAAGAATAATCAGGATTTTTTTTTCCTTTTAAAAATGGAGTCAATGATACCTTTATTTGTAAACTAAAACAATCTTCACATTTAAATTTTTTCACATTTTGTTTTTCACACACTTCACATGTTGGATTTTGTCACGTAAATTTATTTCGTTTAACACTGGGTAAAAAAAAAAGTTCTTTAACAGACTGTTCATAAAGTTTTCGATCGTTTAGACGGATTCTTCAAAAATATTTTATCTCAAAAACAAAGAATATTCACAAAATTTTTCTTTCGAAAAATTCAGTCATTGTTGCATTTATTCATAAACAGAAATTGTTTAAAAAAAATTTCTTTTTGAATTTTGGTTTTCAGCTAAAGCAGCACTTTATTTTCACATACTCACAAAATTATAAGTGAATTTTTCACTATTTCACAAAAAGTCAGAACTGACGATTGGTTTTCTGATTTTTCACAAAATCAAATGCCCATTTTCACAAATTTACAAAACCATGAACATGTTTTTCAGA